ACGATAGCATATATAACTCAATTCTTTCTTAAGTAGACTTAGGCGGTGATAGGTTATGACCACAGATATACGAATTTTTAGGTTTATTGAATGAATTTTTCCCTATTTGACCTTCAAATGACCTCGAACCTGATGTGATGGAGGCTAACAGACGTCGGATTCGCAATCAGCGCGTCGAATAACATAGGGATATAGAGGTTTGGTTCAATATGCATACCTTTTTTTTGTAAACCTGTGTTATTATGTTCATGTCAAACATAATCGATGTAGAAACAATTCTTGTAGTTTACAATGATGAATTTACCATGGAAAAGCCATCAAAATTTCTTCCCTCCTATAATATGTAGCGGGTTAAAACTCATAAAGTCACCACCGCTTCATAGTCTTAAGGTATTGGCCCAATGCACGCTTGCTTTGCTTGCTTGGCTTTGAGAACTGTCAAACAATTTTTAAAATCTACTAAAATGTATGAAAGTTGGCCTAGTGGCAGCTTTACTTCACTTCCTTCAAAGTAAAGCAAAGCAAACTAAAGTAAGCAAAGCAAGCGTGCATTGGGCCAATACCTTTAGAGAGACACTTGGGGTGTTGGTCATTTTATGTTGTTGAGAGCAGTGTTACCGTTTTAGCCCTTTGGTGGCAAGATTTAGCTACCACATACTTTGTTTGGCCACATAAATTTACAATTGCCCCTAGCCCTTTTTTAGCCTTTTGGAGAATTTATTCATACTTCGCATGAAAAAGTTGTATATGCTTAATTTGATATCATTTTTTTTTCGTTTATGTAAGAGATGAATTTTTAAACTAAGAAATACTGATATATGTATATACCATATATGTAATACTTCTATATTGGCAGTAAGCTAACTTCTCAATGTGTAAGCATTCCGAAATCAAATCGAGACAGTCTAGTACCGTTTTTGTCAATGTATTGTGTACTTGAGTGCCGTTGTTGTATATGTGTTGTGTACATGTTTATTTATAAACGTATGTGTTCCTTTTCTTTCGTACGTGTTTATTGATATATCTGTACTGTAGTGTTTTCGGACGGTACTAGCTCTTACTGCCAATATAGGAGTATTACATATGTATATGGTATATACATATACGTATTGTACGTTCCTTACGTTTTTATACATACATACTGTAAAAATGTTAAGGCTGTTAACTTATATATTAACGATTTAACTAGAGTTTAAAATAGATAAGTTTACGGCCCTTAATATGCTTAATTTGTTAAATGGCCCATCAAGTCGATTGACCGTGTATGTTCTTGTGGTGTGATTGTACCAGCTGCAGGTGCGACTTCAAAAACTGTTTGAAAATTTTATCATTGTACCAGCATGCTGGTGTCGTGAGTGGTGAAATTAGCTCAATTTTCTATGTAAAAAGTATTTTGGCGGAAATTTCTTGCACTATATGAGTCAAAACCAGTAGTAGTATTAGTGATCTCATTATATTGCATTTTGAAGATTTGTTATAATTGATCAAAGTGAAATTCAAATAAATTATAGATGATATGAAGTTCACCGGGTCATCTTCTAGTCTTTAATATATACTCAGTTAATATACGGATAAATATTTACTAAAGTGTTACGAACGATATTTTTTTAATACCATAAGAAAAAAATAACTATGATTTAAAGGAGTGACACACAATGGCTAGAGTCGTCGCATGTGTGTATTCTTTCATATACATATATATGGGCCGTTCTTACGGTTTATATATTTTTCATCCACTCGCTTATTCCTTACCGAAAATTTTAAATAAAAATTTAACAAGTTTTAACCGCTGATACAGTACAGGTAGCAGTTTAAAATGGGGAACTGGGTAAACTTAATAAAGAAAACATATTCTCTGGTTAAATTAATAAGCCTGCCGGATAACACAAAATCCTAAGCTTGATAAACATTTGGTGTTATACAAGTTTTATAAAGCTCTACATGTATTTAGGAAAAATGCCAAAAAAAAATTATAAAATTTATTGATTGATTGATAGAAATAGAGAGGGAGTTATGGCTATGACAATAGAAACTAGAAAAAAGATACCTCGTGTTGAAAGCAAAAAGGATCTAAAACCAAACAAAAAAATATAAATACATTGTCAATCATAAAAAAAATTTACGATTCGAAAAATAATTTTGAAATATTGTAAATTTTTTTTTGGGTTTTTAAAGTTAAGGGTTTATTTACTTACAGTAACGAACAAAAGTATTGGCACAGTAAATTTTTCGCAATATAGGCAAAGTATTTTTTAGAAAAATTCCAAGTATGCAGTTTAATAATACATTTAATTTTAGTTTATCAAAGTGCAGGTTTGAAGTTGCTTGAAAATCTGAATATAAAATTGCGAATTAGTATGCTGATTTATTGAATGTTCCTGAGTTTTTCACAAAGTTTACACATTTGATTTTTATGTGTTTTAGAGTAGTATGAATAATGTGACCAACTATTTCATAGCACAAAGAAGTACAGGTTAGGTTAAGTTAACGCCGCGAGTCGATTATGAAATTTCGAATGCGGCTAATTTCGATCCCTGAGAGCTCAGTGTTTGTTGAAAAGTGCGAGGATCAGTTGAAATTTCAAGTCTCAACGCATGAATACCAATCGCATAATGGCCTGTCAGAACCCCCATCACTAGCCCTTGAGAGGTAACATGTTTAAAAGTGCCCTAT